AAATAACCCTGTATTCACTTTGTGCTAGCTATGGAGCCATCCACCAGAGCATGGCTGACCTCCCAGGAACCACATCGTCATGGAAACTGACTCTCCCTCCCCCAGAAGCCATCGAGTTGTCAGTATTCTCAGCTAGAGTGGGCTTCCTGAGCCCTTCCCTACCCATGTTTGCAGGCAGAGTTTTCATTGAGACTGCCAGCTCCCCTATAATGACATAGAGACTTATTATTAGTTATGAAAGCTCAGCTGATAGCTTAGGCTTGTTTCCAACTAACTCTTATAACTTAAATTAACCCACTTCAATTAATTTACTTTCTGTCTTGTGACTTTATTACCTCATCCCTGTATTGCCCATCCTGCTTGCTCTGCATCTCCCGGTGTCTCCACTGTTCTTCTTCCCAGTGTCCTCTGTGCCTGGAAATCCTGCCTAGCTATTGGCAGTTCAGATTTTTAGTAAGTCAGTCAGAGTGACAACATCCTCACAGTATACAAAAAGATTATTCTGCAGCACATGTTAAATATTGACTGGCTTGATCTTGTACCAACAGCCAGAGCTCCTGTGAATTCATGAGTGCTAGTCCATATGTATATACAAATTTTCTTGACAAAGGTTTTTGCTACATACCCTGTGCTGCTATCAAATTTGGCAATCTCTGCCTAAGCTTAGCAAGTGCTGGATTTGTAGGCATGTGCCATCATGCCAAGTTCATATGACATTTTATTCAACTATTCATGCATATAAACTCTGGAGCTACCTCTACTTTTTGACTAATGTGAATTATACTGCTACAAATTAACTTCCTGCGAATGTCTATCATTTTTAGAAATTGTCATATACATTTCCATAGTGGACACATCAATTTATTTATCCACTGGCAATCATCAGTTACATTTCTTGCATCCATGCCAGTAGTTGTTACTTTCTGTTTTTATAACACACACACACACACACTCTAAGCATCCTGATAGGTATGAAAAATGAAATGGCTTTCATTTGTATCTCCCTAGTTAATTGAATAGTTGAGCATTTTTTTAAAATCTGCCTATTCTCTTGGAGAAGCTTGTATTCATGTCTTTTGCCTATTTTTTTTAAATCGACTTTTTGTTAATGAAATGTAGGAGTTCTTTATATATAGTCTGTTTTAATCCTTTATAAAATCTACAAGTTACAATTTCATTACATTTCATGAATGCCTTTCTAATCTCTTGATTGTATCCTTGCTTTTTATATAATCTAGAATTATCAGTTTTACTTTTGTTACCTATGTTGCTTTTGGTTCTATCTAAGAAAGCAATACTAAATCCTGCTCTCTTGGTATTAAAAACTCAAGTTAATTTTCATGCATAGTTAAGGGTACAGCGTCATTCTTTTGTTTGTGGACCTCAAATTTCTCTAGTACTAATGTTGGGGACCAAACAATCTTCATGCTCATGCTGAAACTCATTTGACCAAATTTTTATGGGTTCATATACTATATGTATTAAGCCAGAATCACATTAATATACTTTTTATATTTTATATCAGCATCACACTGACTTCGGCAGTAAGTTTCAAATCAGAAAGTTGGCCTGGTGGTGGTGGCATACACCTTTAATACCAACATGGGGAGGGGAGAGGCAGATGGATCTTTGTGAATTTGAGGCGAGCCTGGTCTAGAGAGCAAATTCCAAGATAACCAGAGCTGTTACACAGAGAAGCCCTGTCTCAAAAAAACAAAACAAAAACCCAAAAAACAACAAACAAACAAGCCAGAAAGTGGGAGAACTTTAGTCCTTTTCTTTTTTTGAGACAGGGTTTCTCTTTGTGCTCCTGGCTGTCCTGGACCTCTCTCTCTGTAGACCAGGCTGGCCTGGAATCACAGAGATCCACCTGCCTCTGCCTCCCAGGTGCTGGGATTAAAGGTGTACAGCACTACTGCCTGGTTTATAAAATTTGTATAAGCAGAAGGGGTGGCAATAATAGCACAGAAGATAAGAGGAAGACATAGTGGTGTACTGACAGCATGGTGGATAACATCAGGATTTCAGGAACCAGAGGCTGAGGCTGAGTGATTGCATGAAATTGAGGCCAGGTTGATTTTAGACTAGCCAACCTAGAATATAGAGTGAGACCTTGGGAGACTGGGAGATAGAATCATTGCGGGGGAGACAGAGAACTATATATACTTTTATACAGTGATGTAACTGTGGTTAAAGATATATTCATTAACCCTAAAGCAGCAACTAAAATAATTAAAAAAAGATTTACATAACTGAGTTTATCAAAATGGCTCAGCTCAAAAAGGAACTTGCTATACAAGCCTGGTGACCTGAGTTCAGTCCCAGAACCTACATAATCAAAAGATAGATCTGACTCTTGCACATTGTTCTCTTTCCTTACACAAGCACATACATACATACACAAATTAATTAATAAAAAAAGTTTTTAGGAGTTATAATTGTACCAGACAGAGGAGATGAATGGGACACATGGAGTAGGAAGCAAGATCCAGGTGAAAAGATTTACAGGTAAAAGGATCCAGTAATCCTGAGATCTGAAATATTTGGTGTAAACATACCAGTCGAAAGCAGAGATTAAGATAATGAGTTTTGAAAAAACTCTGTGTGCAAGACCCATCTATGTGCTGCCTCCACAACAACCACTTTAAATATAAAAATGCTCAACTGTGTAGTGGTGGCACATGCCTTTAATTCCAGCACTTGGAAGGCTGAGGCAGGCAGATCTCTATGAGTTCGAGGACAACCTGGTCTACAGACTGAGTTCCAGGACAGAGTTAAGGCAGTTACACAGAGAAACCCTGCCCCCCCACAAAAAAAACAAATATATAGAGGTGTGTGTGTGTGTGTGTGTGTGTGTGGTTGTATGTAATATATAATAGAAGATTTTATATATATATATATTTGTATTATATAAATACATGGAACTAAGGAGGTATTTTAGGAGCATGGAGCTTGTATAAATAAGTTTTAAATTGTAGATAGGTAAAAAGACTAGAACAAGCCATACCTTAGTAACACAAATTAAAATAAACTTTTAATGGTTACATTAATGCCGGAGTAAATTTCAGAGCACAGCTATCACTGGGAATTGAAGTTATTTCTTAATAAAGCAGTCACTTAAACAAGAAGACATCACAGCCTGAAGTGCTTAGTAACAAAGCTTTACAAATGGGAGGTGAGACCTGCTGTCCTGCCTTCTCAGTCACTGAAGGACAGACAGCCATAGAGCAGCTAGTGTAGGACTTACAGCCAGCTGATTTAGTCTGATTAACATTTGTAGAGAACTCCATCCAACAAAATCAGAATATATATTCTATTGAAGTACATTCTAGGCCATAGAACAACGAAGTCAAGTTTACACAAAATATAATGTGGCCACTGACCACATGAAATTAAATAAATCAATAGCAGAAAAATCTAAAGAGCACCCAAATATGTGAAAATTAACCCATGACCTTAGCAAATCAAAAGAGAAAATGTAGACCATTTGAACTGAATGAAACACAAAACAGTCCATCAAAATTAGAGCGATGTCTCTGAAGCAGTGCATGAGTGCTAGCCACAGGGTTTCAATGTGTTTTTAGACGAGTATCACTTGTCCCTCAAATGGATGCAGTTTAAGCCCATTATATCTCTATAAGGATGGGGTTTTTTGTTTGTTTGCTTGCTTGCTTGTTTTCAGGTATGATAGGGCTCAGGCTAAAAGAGACTTGAGAAACATAGCAACTAAATAACATTTAGACTTTATGTCCTGATTCATACAAGCCCAGAAACCAAAAGGCTTTCTGGGGCATCAGCAATGATGGTTCAGCAATTAAGAGCATTTATTAAGTAGACTAGTACCATCTAACAAAAGCCCCGTCAGAGATGGAAAATGAAGACTGGATAAAGTGACAAGTTGATATCCTTACAATACAGAGAGATTGTTAGGTGAAATTACAAGCAAAATATTGATAGTAAATACAAAGATGTTCAATAAGTTATTTTATTTTGTTTTTAATTTTCCTCTCATGCGCTCCTGTTCTTGTTTTCTTTTTAATCCTTACAACACAGTGTGAGGTCTCCCTTGTTTTTTTTCCCCTCTCCATTCCTTCAGCTTTTTTTCTGCCCCTGCTCAATTTAAAATCTAATTGTGCTTAGAGTTTAGACAATCTCAGTTTGCCTCTGTTATCCCAGTGTGAACTCAGACTCACAAAGCATTCTGATTCTTTTGTTCAGAATCCCATCCTGTCCCTTACTAGGTCATCCTTGCTTAATTTCCAAAGTGTTAATTCTGATGTAACTTCCTCGAAGCCTTCCCTGGCTTTCTTCCCTATTCCTAACCCATCTCCTATCACCATATGAAATGTATTCTTCAGTTATTTCCTAGGTTTCATTTCATGTCATCTTTGGGTTGTTGGTATCTAGCACTGCTCTTTGTGACTGGCAGTGTTGGATAAGTACAATTTTAGAAATTATCTGAGTTAAACCTAAACGAGGAAACACCCTTTCCTAAGATGACAGAGAATAGTGTGAGCTGAACCAGGAGTAAGTAGACTTGTTGCTATGTCTGTTCTCGGTGCTGTATGAGAACGTAGTGGGGCCTTTGAGGTTTATTTGCTAAGACAGTTCATATCCCTAACAGTGCTTATGGGTAGAGCACACTGGGAAAGCTCTTGGGGCAAGAGTGGGAGGACTGAAAGGTGTAGCAGCACCGAGAGCCTGACATCATCACACAGTGCACAGAAACAGAAGTGGCTGTAAAACATAATTTCTCACCAAATACACTTCTATTCAACTAAAATGAAGAATCTATGGTATTGCTGCCAGTTTTTTTTTAATTTGTGTTGCTTTTCCAGAGTCCACTTACATAATATGATATAAATGGTCTAGGATAATAGAGACATTATATCTTTAATTATTCAGAATAAAGATCGTGTAGTCACTTCAGTATCACATACTAAAATGAGGACCATTATTCAGAGATCTTCCTTTTAATGTCTTCTTTTTTGTTTTCTTAGCGTCGTCTTGGAGACGCAGCCAAGAAAGCCATCAGTAAATTGACAACTAGAACGGTGAAAAAGGGTGATAAGGTACAGTAATGAAATTAATTTCATCTTTGAAATCTCGCTTGTGCTTTGCCTGTCTGGAAAGCCTTCAGCTAGTCCTTTGACTTTTCTGAACTCCAGGTGCTCTTGCCCTTAGCAGCATCAGTGACTACTCACTGTTCACACTGTTCCTCTGCAGTTTTCAGCGGTTACAGCCGAGCACACATCTGCCAGGAGTTCTAAGGAGACAGTTTGCACATAAAATAGCCAAGAGAAGTACATTTTCTTCCGTTTCTTAGGACTGCTGCATCTGCTTTGGGTGTTGTTTCTTCTCAGTTAAGACCTGCCTGAAGACCATCATTTCTAGGGAATTTCAGTTAACAAGGGCCTTATAACAGGCTGACACTTGTAGAAAGAGCAGTTTATCAGTGTTGGACCTAAAGCGGACCAAGTCAAGGAGTTGGCAACAAATTGCAGAGCTGAAACCTTTCATCAAAGCTCCCTAGTCAGAGCTCAGGTGCACATAGCATTTTAGTGTTAGTTTCTACATTCAGTATATCCAAACTTAACAAGAATTTGAGAGAGAAAGACAGAGAGATCTCAAAAGGCAAAAAAACAAAAAACAAAAAAAAAAAAAAAAGAAAAAAACCTATCTGACACCTTATGCCCAGTGCTAGTATTTTTTAGCAGAGAACTCTGGAAAAAGGATTTTGTGTGATTCTCTGTTTTCTGTGTTTTCCTGCATTCTTTCTTTCACTGATTTTATTTGTATGCCTGTGAATACTGGAACCGGTTGTCCTCAGCACAGCTGCAGAGGAAGGGACATTCTCACTGGGGTTGCTGTACACCAAGGAAGGAAAGGGCACTTGCAGAAATGCTTCCTTGGCTTGGCCAACTGCTATTAACTAGAAAACCCCTGGATTTGATACAACTTAGTTGTCATCCTCTACCCCTCCCCAGTACTAAATATTCTTTAGTATACTTATGAATATACACTTTTTGTATACCCTGCACACTTTTTGTACATCCTGCACCTGCCAACCATGTGGCAATGACTTAGGCTATTTGCATGCCTTGCTTTAAGAAAGCTCCTCAGCCCAGAGGATGAAGGGAGTCAATTAACTTGGTGACCAAACAACTGGTTTGTCTTTTCTGATTCTTGATAAATACTCAATATTGAGTTAAACCAGTAACTGCCCCAAGTCTGTGACCAGAGTGCAATTCCCATACTTGAGTTAGGACTGTAACAAAGGAGTCTACTGAGTGCTGCCCATCATTTGTAGCTGTGTTCTAGGAATTGATTGGCTGCATGAACCTCTTAATGAGGATCTCAATGTTTTAGATTATAACAGTGAAACCTATTGAGACTAGGTAGTAGTAGAGGAATTGGGGTAGACACTTGATAATCCAAGGTGATCTACTGTGAATTGTGGAAAAAAACAGGGCTCTGACTTATCCTAAGATATCATAAATAGAAATTAGTATGGATTGTATGATTGGCTCATATGTAATTTGGGTCAGCCTACTTAAACAAATGAAAAGTTACTATTTTTAATTCCTTTCCCTTTGTAGCCATCTGTTTACTATAGGATTGTTCTTAGCTGAGTTGTAGCACTTGTGTGCACACACTCAGCTCCTGTGCTTTTTGTTTCAGGAAACAGACCCAGACTTCGATCACTGTGCAGTCTGCATAGAGAGCTATAAGCAGAATGATGTTGTTCGGGTTCTCCCCTGCAAGTATGTCAGATTTCTGTATTTGAAAGGAATGATATTAATATCTTGTTTGTCTCCCTCCCAGAGTGGGTATCTACTTGGTCCTGAAAGCCACCTGACCAATAGTTCTCCTGACAGGCTAAGGCCCAAATGCTGATAATGAGAGAGCATGGTCAACTCTGACCAGTGTCCCTTCCAAGAAGTTTTTGCATATATATATATATATATCAGAAACACGTGACAAGGTGGCATATGCCTTGATCCCAGCACTTGGAAGATATAGGCAGGTGGATCTCTGCTCAAGGCCAGCCTAGTCTACAAAATGAGTTTCAGGACAGTCAGGGATATATAGAGAAACCGTGTAGGTGAAGAGCACAGCCTTGTTTGTTCTTCCAGAGGTCCTGAGTTCAATTCCCAGCAACCACATGGTGACTCACAATCATCTATAATGAGATCTGGTGCCCTCTTCTGGCCTGCAGGCACACACGCAGGTAGAACAGTGTATATATATATATATATATATATATATATATATATATATATATACACACACACACACACACACACATAATAAATAACAAAATCTTTTAAAAAACACGTGACAACATCTAGGTACATCATAACCTAAGAAATTGTATTCAGTGACCCTCTGGGCTAGGCTGTAGCTCAGTGGTAAACACTTGACTAACATTTACCAGGTTATAGGTTTGATCCCTAGTACAGACAAAAAAAGAAAACACACAACAACTTTCTGTCTCAAATTAGAGTTCATTATAAAGCCCTTCCACAAGCCCTCCACCTCGTCCCCCTGGCTCTAGGTTCTACTATGCTAAAGCCCTGAATTACGCAGGATGGGAGGACTGCTGTTTGCTTTGTAATTGCTCTGCGACCATACACTACTCTGTGCAGATTACATGTACTGTCTTCTCTCATCCTGCCAGCAATCCAAAGAGGGCGTTGCTCTCCTATTGTGCTGGCTAGTTTGTCATTCCGTGGCAAAGTATCTGCAGAGTCTTAGAAGTTCTCTGTGCAGCATCCAGTGGGCCCTGGCGGGTCAGCCTCTGGTGAGCATGATGGTAGCATACATAGAGTGAGTCCATGCAGAAGGAAGAGGACAGGCTAGCCACATCTGATGCTTTTGTAATAACCTCATGAGAACCACCAAAAGAGTCCCGTAGGAAATACGCCACCTTAGGACCTCCACTAGGTCCCATTCTCCAGAAGTTCTGCCACCTACCAACTGATAACCAAAGTTTTCACCACCATGGACTATGGGAGGGACACTCGGACTACACCCAAACCATAGCACCGTTGTCCAGTGAAGGATAGATAGTAAGGCCAGCGGCAGATTCCAGGTTTACACAGTTCATTGTGGCAGAGCCTGACTTCAGTAATCATCATTCCTTATTTAGGATTTCTAGCTAGCGCCCTCCCTCCCTCCCTCTCTATCCTTTCCTCTCTTCTGAGGAATAGCTCCAGCATTCTTTTTACTTTGAGACAGGATCTCATTAAGTTGCCCAGACTATGAAATCATTCTGTAGCCCAGACTTGCCTTGAACTTGCCAAACTCATGTTTCAATTTCCCATGTAACTGAGTTTACAGACCTGCACCACCAGACTGGGCCATACAAGTTTCCTTTATAAGCATGTTGATTTCTACCATGTTCTGTGCCAAACTAGGGAACATGAAGCACCAAGATATCCTGATTTGTGTATAAAATGCAAAATCACCTACTAAGAACCTAAAACCAAAGATTTCTACTTTCTTCTCTCATCTCATGAAAAGGTACTCACATGACCCTGGCTTGTAAACTTGTAACTGAATAAAATATTTGTAGGCTGCTGTGCCTCCATGAAGCTACCTGTCCTATTTTACTTATTCAGAAAGTAACATTTTGTGCCTAGAAAATGTACACAAAATAAATTACTTTTTTTGTTTTTGTTTTTTGATTTTTAATTTTGGATCTCCAGAAGAATGCTGTAATCAGAAATAGAAGTTCAAGATTCTGGAGTAGGCATTCCAATTCTAGGTTACATAAAGAAAGATCTTACCCAAACTCAGTGTAAGCAGCCCTGCAGAAAATTATGTACTGGCCATTTTTCTTCATTCAGTTATTTAAAATCGAAGTGTATGAGGCTGAAAGAAGCACGTTTATGAAGCAAGTAGGGAAAGAAAGCAGAGCCAGCAAGTGCCTGCTTTGACCAGGAAGAAGCTGAACATTAAATTTCTTTTCTTCCTATTCCCTGCTCAAGAACCGCTGGACCCAGCTGGTACCTAAAGCAGAAAGGGAAAAAAAATCATTCACTGTTATTATTAAAATTAAAGTGTCTTCCTCAAGGGAGTCTGATCCTAAAATAGAGGACTCTGGGCTACTTGCTCTCATTCCTGCCATCCCTAAAGCCTTGCCTTGACTTTTCCAGGTTCATTCTGAGTGCGCTCTCGCTCTATCTATCTATCTATCTATCTATCTATCTATCTTTCCCCTCTCCCCTCGCCAGTTTAACGCAGACCTTTCTCAACCCAACTCCCTGTCAGATCAACGAGCAATTTTATAAAGACCTTAAGTGGAACACCACCATTCACCTTTTTTTTTTTTTTTTTTTTTTTTTTTTTGGTTTTTTCGAGACAAGGTTTCTCTGTGGTTTTGGAGCCTGTCCTGGATCTAGCTCTGTAGACCAGGCTGGTCTCGAACTCACAGAGATCCGCCTGCCTCTACCTCCCGAGTGCTGGGATTACAGGCGTGCGCCACCACCGCCCGGCCACCATTCACCTTTAGTAAGTTCCTGAGTGATTTCTGATAACAGAGGGTCACACTCTCCACTGAGGTCCACAGCCTTGTGGAACCTTAACTTTCTACAGCTAAAAAAGACAGTTGCTGCTTAGCCTTTGTGTTTGTGAGCTGCTTTTAAAGAGCTCAAACATTGTCAGACTTGAGGGATTTCTTTGCTCTCTCCCTCAAGGTCTTGCCCACACTTTATGCAGATGTACTGCACTGACTGTCCGCTCTCCATGTTGTTTTGAAACCAGCTGCTTCCTTAAGTCTCTGTAAATTGAAGCCTTCTCTAAATTACAGTGTTCAGCCTACTCAGAACATATTGTCCCCTCACCTTAACAACACTACCATCCTCAGATGCAGTAAAAATTAACTTTTACCATTGAGCAATCTTTTGTGACAACCTTCGACCTATACAGGGTTTCTCGGCTTTGGCACTGCTGACATTTCAATCAGATGAGTCTTTGTTTGAAGGAGAAGGTGAGGGAAGCTGCCCTGTACAACACAGGACATTCAGCATATCCTTAGCCTCTGCCACTACTCCCCAGAAGTGCCGTACCATACAGTTTTGACAACCCAGAATGTCTCCAGATGAGAACCACTGACCTAGAAGAGGTTGACCCAGGAAGTTTTGATCCCAAATCTTCTCCAAGCTTACTTCTAGCCAATGACTCTCTAGTACCTGTGGTAATTTTCCCTGTTTGGTGTCTTTCCACCTGGAATACCCCTTCTTTTATCTGTATGTTCTTTGACCCTGAGCCTTCCCTGGATTTCTCCATCTCATATGGCTTAGCACTTTTGTCCCTCACTGTCTTCCACCTGGTCTTTGGACAGACTGCACAGACAGAGTTCCACCCCTGGCTGGATGCCAAGTGTTAACCAGAGTCTTTTTGCTATCCTGGCTGGCCCTTCCTGTTTATCACAGCAGTGTCTCCTTAAACACTTCCCTTACCCATTGTTCACTCTCAGCCAAGTGAACTTTACTATCAGCTTCATAGAGAGAATAGTTGTTGGATTGCCCTGAGCTTTATATCACCAGGCCTCCAGCATGTCTACCTCTACACCCTCCTTGGCACCTCCAAGCATGGAAGAGGCAGCTCAGCTCTGGTCTGGTGCTGCTACTCCTACTTGGGTCTTTGCCTGCCAGCGAAAGGGGACCTTGATCTATTGACTGTCTGTCCCCTTGGCTTTTTGTTCTGTCTATCTTTGCTCATCAGCATTCAGTCATAATCAAGCCTTTGAGATTCCTATTTGTTTTAAATCTGACCCTTACATTACCCTGCAGCTTTAGGTAGAATCTTTATTTGCTGTCTCTTCTCAGTCAGAAGACAGCCAAATGTCTATGTCTGTCTGTCTTTCATTTTTAACAAGACTGTTCTGAACCAAACCTTTCTCTATAAATATCAGACCTCTTGTGAACTGCTTTGTCACATGACCTTTCCTTTTTTGTCCTCTATTGCACAAATTTATTGTGGACAGATGGCAGTTGGCATTGCTTTGGGGACCTCCTGCTTGTGTCAGTTGATTACAGTTGATCGCCTTTTGGATATTAGCCCTCATGGCTCCAAAACTGAGAAACAGCCATCTTATTTAAAAGTTAGCCACAAGATGTTAGTAGGTAGAAATACTAAGGAGAATGCCACAGCATGAAGATGCCAGCCGGTGCTAAAACAGGTCAGGAAGCTGGCGACTGGCTGGCTAGGTGCTGCAGTCACCCCCACCTCAGAGGGAGATCGGCTTAAACAGCATCTGCCAGGCCTGGCTGGGGAAGGAGTTCTTGTGTCTGACCTTTAATAATCCTGGATGATCCTTTCATGTTTGCCAGGTCCTTAACAGGACACCCAGAGGCTTCAGAGTTGTGAAAACAACTCACCTCCAGTGTAGATGCCTCCCCTTCCCCCAGCCCCACTGCTTTCTGACCTCTCTGTTTCTGGCCCCTGGGGAGTAGGAGCAAGGAGGCACTGTATTTCAGTGCTGCAGGCTTTGTTTCTTCCATAGTCTGTGTGTTCCCCATTGTGTACCTCACAGCATTTCTTACAGAAGTAATGGTCGTGTGGAAGCTCTGCTGTGTTGGTCTACAGCTCTCTGCATATCCTAGTCCACCATTAGCCCCTTTCAAGAGTCACTCAAGATAGTAAGGAAGAACTGCTTTTCAAGGTCTGGCCCCTGTGATGCACCCTCTGACTAGTGATGGATACCCTAGTGCCAAAGCTTGTTTCAAAAGTATTCTTGCCATTTACTAGGATGTTGTATGGAACATTAAGGTCACTTTGCCTATTTAGCAAAACCTTAGTGCTTCTCAAAGTATTCCAGGTACAGTTTTCATGTGCTTCAGTCAGCCTCACGAGGTGATCAAGCCTGTCTTCCCCAGTCTCCCACCCATGGTCTTTCAGGGCAGACAGCTGAAAGGCAAGAAGAGTAGTGGACCAAGGATCCAGACACTTACTAGCAAAGCTTTGCCCAGAAACAAGATGAAGGACATGATGGGTATGGTGAGCAGGAGGCTGAGGAAGTGGTCAAGTGAGGAAGAAAATAGTGAAGAAGGGACAGCTACAAGCCTAAGCATTTGTTCCCAAAGGTGACCAGTAGGAGAGTGCAGGATTGCTCAAGGCTGATGAATGCAGAGAACAAGGGCTTAGTTTTATCCAGAAGAGCTGTGGGAGTTAAGAGACAGAAGGTCTGGAGTTAGTTGCACAGAAGCTGGAAAGGGTTGGCTCTGGGTCATGGGAGGGGAGTTGGAATAGTGGTCTGGGGTGCAAGTGATAGCTAGAAACTTTTGTTTTTAGAGAGAAGAAATACTTCTTTTAGGTTTTGAGTTAACTAAGGAAGAGAGATTCTTATTTGTCTACAGATAGTATTCCAGATAGTCTTTATTATCTTCTATAACCACACAAAGGGGAACACAGTAATTGACTAATGGGATAGAACAGTTTTTCTTTTAGGTCAACAAAACTATAAGAAAATAAGTACTTACGAATCCCAACATTAAAAAAAAATCCACGTATGGCTCATTTAAGGTCAACAGAACAGACAAGTTGTAAACCCTTAAACTGTGTGTGTGTAAACCTCACAACATGTGAAAATGGTTACAGCCGTGTGGCCCTATCATCCCATCACTTGGGAGAAATTAAGTAAGGGAGGTACGCCATTTTGTTTTTTCCTGAGTAACCAGTAATAGGAAAAGCAAAAACACTGCCCTGGACAGGCCAGAGCCAAATCTTTTTAAAATTATATATATATATATATATATTGGGCTGGAGAGATGGCGCAGAGGTTAAGAGCACTGACTGCTCTACCGGAGGTCCTGAGTTCAATTCCCAGCAACCACATGGTGGCTCACAACCATCTGTAATGAGATCTGGTGCCCTCTTCTGGCCTGCAGTCATGGAGGCTGAACACTGTGTACATAATAAATAAATCTTTTTTAAAAAATGTATTTATTTATTATATATACAGTATTCTATGTGCATGTATGCCTGCAGGCCAGAAGAGGGCACTAGACCCCATTACAGATGGTTGTGAACCATCATGTGGTTGCTGGGAATTGAACTCAGGACCTTTGGAAGAGCAGGCAATGTTCTTAACCATTGAGCCATCTCTCCAGCCCCAGAGCCAAATCTTTATGTGCAGACAGCTGCTGCTTGCTTATACCAGGGTACCATCTTCTGGTTAATATTGAGCTACCACACCCCCCTTCATATATCTCACTCCTGAACCAAAGCAACTCTTTCAGAGATCACATGATCTCTTCTACTCTTGACAGCCAAATCCCATTGTCCATCCTAAGACTAGAACACCTTCTCGACTGTCCCACTCTGTCCTGACACTAGCTAAGCCCCCAGATGTCTATCAGTTGCTCCCAGGTGTATACAGATTAGGTAATTGTAGTTTAGATTCTACAGTTTAGATGAGATCTAAAGGGACCTCTGCATGCCCCGCAGAGATGAAGAAATATTATTCAGGGGTGGAGAGATAACCTCATGTATAGAGGTCTGATGACCTGAGTTTGACCCCTGGAACTCACATCGTTGTAGGAGAGAACTGACTCTTTCAGGTTTTCCTCTTGACTCCCACATTGTGAGCATGTCTTGCATACCCACAAATAATAAAGTTTTAAAAAAGAAACAGCAGCAGCAGCCTTGTTCTGTTCTGTGTTCCACTGCACAATAACCTTTGTACCGTTGAGTGCTGCTGAGCAGTAGCTGCACATGACCCTCAGTAAGGGCTGAGTCCTCAGAAGCACCTTGTCTTTTCTCTGGAGCACTCTTAGTCCATATAAGTAGTAGTAGGAAGTCATAACACCTTGTATTCTATAACTGTAAGTCTCCGTATGGACTGACAGCTTTCCAGCCTATAAAACCCCTACAGAAGGTTCTCAGGAGTGAGAATGCCTTGTCTGAAAATCTCAGACTAGACTGAGAAAGCAAGACTTCAAGATCTTGATTCTGGTCTCCAAAGAAGTAGGCTGTAAGGCCATCAAATGGAAACTGTGGGATAGCATATTGAAATTATCATCCCAGTAAAAAGTTTTCTAGACCATCTTTTTAAAATTTTTATTTTCAAATAGTAGCCAGAATATTAAATTATAAATTAACAAGGTTTTAAGTTAAAACAATTAAGGTATATGATGACCCAATTTGGTATCTCTCAAATTACCTTTTATCCCAAACTGAAATTGTATCATTTCTTCAAAACCTGCCTGAGAATCTGTTGCTGCCTTTGTGTCAGCCTAGCACTGCAGGCTCCCATGCTGGGTTGCAGCTTCTTCAGGTTCCTGTACAAGGATACCAGAACTTGGGCATGACCTTTGCCTGTCCTTCAAAGTCTTTTCCGGACTTCCCATGGGAACATGTTCCTTTTCCAAGAATACAGACCCTCTCTGAGTGGCTGACCCCATCAGGAGGATGTGACTTTATGTTCTCACGAGTAGGAGAGGATGTCATTGTCCCCTATCATTTAACATTTAACATTTCAGCCAAGAATCACCAACTGCTGATCTCATTCTTAGATAACATTAACCACCTTAAAAGAGTTCTAACTGCCCTGTGACTTTTACCAATATTCAGCCTAGGTTGAATTTCATAAAATAACATTTATCCAGAGAACTCTTAATTTAACTGCAACTTAACATCTGTGTGAAATTCCATTTTGGGTTTTGTTTTGTTTTGTTTGGGCAGGGATGGGGGATTTTGAGACAGGCTTTACTCTATAGCTTTGAAGCTTTTCCAGAACTAGCTCTTGTAAACCAGGCTGGCCTCGAACTCACAGAGATCCTCCTGCCTCTGTCTCCCGAGTGCTGAGATTAAAGGTGTCCACTACCACTGCCCACCAGAATTCCATTTTTCTACATGAGCTATCCTTCTAAAATATAGCTTGTTTATAAAATCTGGTTATCTTTATTCTTAATACATTTTTCTAGATTTTTTCAAGTCTTTTAGAATTCATTGGCATGAAAAGACAAGTTGGGCACAGTAGTTTATACCTATAGTCCCAGCTAGTCTTTATTACTGTGAGCTTGGGACCATCCTGGACAACTCAGCAAGCCCCATCACTTAGAGCATGCATGAGGTCCTATAGTGGATCCACAGCACAGAAATAAGTTCAGGCATCTGTATCCCTCTCACGCTCGTTACACAGTGCTCTTAGGTACAGGAGTAGGCTATGTTTTTATGTGCTCCACTATTTATCTCTTGGGTGTTGAAATCCCCTAAAGCAGAAAAAATTCTAATTCTTTCCATTTTGACCTTGGAATTCTTCAATATGCAATTTGTGACATAATTCTCTGTTGTTTTCTAGGCATGTTTTCCACAAGTCATGTGTGGATCCCTGGCTTAGTGAACACTGTACCTGTCCTATGTGCAAACTTAATATTTTGAAAGCCCTAGGAATTGTGGTATGTTCCCTGCTTGTCACTACTTGGTGTAATATATCCACATGCAGTGTAATGCAGCTAGCGTACTAGAAACCATGGCCAAATCTCTTTAGAATACTCTTGCTTTCTTTGCCACGTGGCCTTTTTTTTTTGTGCCCTTCTTCCAGGTGACTTCAAAGTTCTAAACTCCTTGGGGCCACAAGAAGAGAATGTAAATAACTGTACTAGTCTGTTTTGAAAACTGCGCTTCTGATGGAGAACACATGAAAGAAATAGGATGCAGAAAACTGTGATCTAATAGTAATTTTGCCAAAATATGAAATGATGACATTTCTGCCCTCTTAAGCTTGCTTTTCACGTCTTTGAGTGTCAGTAACTTGCAAGCAGTGAACATGGATGTTAACCAAAAAGCACCAGAGAACCTTGAGCAGCTTGACAGCTGTGTTAGCCAAGTATGCTGTACTGGGTCAGCTGTGACTGGTGCCAGAGCATACAATGAGAATGGTGGAGACTTCTTACATTCTTGCTTAAGAAAGGTATATAGGGTTGGAGGGATAGTTCATCGTTAAAGGCTAAGGCTCAGAACTAAAATACTAAACAACTAAAATAATAAACAAGTGTATATTCAGGATATACTTTTAATAGAAAGAAAAAGGTCACCATTGCTAACTGTTCTCTGGGGGCCAAGTCATCCTCTATGTACAACTAGTTCAGCAGATACTGTTACATATGGCCAGCATGTGGAAAAAGTAACTTGTTTTCTGTCCATTTTTAATGACAGAATGCCTTCTGGAATAAATAATAGTTGTCATTCGTGGGATGTGACATTACTATAAGCATCAGCTCTTATATTGCGCTTTTAATTTTGTTTTGGTTTTTTTATTTATTTATTTATTATGTATACAATATTCTGTCTGTGTGTATGCCTGAAGGCCAGAAGAGGGCACCAGACCCCATTACAGATGGTTGTGAGCCCCCATGTGGTTGCTGGGAATTGAACTCAGGACCTTTGGAAGAGCAGGCAATGCTCTTAACCTCTGAGCCATCTCTCCAACCCCCTCCCTTTTTTTTTTTAAGAGCTTTGGGAGACTCAAAAACAGAATTCTTTTGCCCTAGAAGCAGTAGCTCTGGGTCTTGGCTGTTCTTTTTGTCTGCCATTTTTCTGAGCTCTGTTTTCATATGCTGTCTTACACAGACAAGAGGAGCTGCCTCTTACTCTGCTGTGAGTGTTCACACCCACCTCTCCACGGGTGGACTTCAGCTGTAGCTGGAGGCTCAGGCGTTGACGCAGATCATTTTCTTACAGTTTACAGACCTGAGCTTTGATCTGCTCTTACTGTATACTTTGTCTCTGAAGGTAGATGCTAACAGTGACATTTAACATTAAGATAATGAAGTAAACTTTCAATCTGAATGTGCCAGTTTTGTAAATGCCATTTTAGCCCCCCTTTGCCTGTGACTGAGACCACAAATGGTTATCACTTTTTTGCCAAGCTACAGTAGACAGTTTTGAGCTATTGATTTTGGTTTTCCTTTGTACATTTCGGAGAAAATCAACTGATTCTTTGAAGAAAGCTTCTTAAATGATAGTAGGAAAGATAGATGGGCAGGTAAATGAGAAGTGATTACGTGAAAAGCTGGTGAAGTTCTGGGAGTGGGTGTTAAACATCCAGGGTTTTTTTTTATATACTTGTTCTTATAATGATTTGATTTTTTTTAATCTGGAAATATTTTGCAGCCAAATCTGCCGTGTACTGATAATGTAGCATTTGATATGGAAAGGCTCACCAGAACCCAAGCAGTTAACCGAAGATCAGCCCTCGGTGACCTTGCCAGTGACAGTTCCCTTGGCCTTGAGCCACTGCGAACTTCAGGCATATCGCCTCTTCCTCAAGATGGGGAGCTCACTCCCCGGACGGGTGAAATCAACATTGCAGTAACAAGTAAGTGGGGACCCTTTGCCCAGGCACCAGATGGCATTGCTGCCTGTGTTGGCATGTGGTGACTGTCAAGGAGAAAGTTGAAGTCATGTGGTCCAGCAGTTTTCGTAAAGGAAACGAGAACATATACATTTAAATAGCTGTTTAGAATTACAAACTTTGTTCATAATAAGGAATGTGCATGCTGGTGATTATATGGTTAGTTGTTTAAAGGTTTGTTTTAATGGCTGTTCAGTAAGCCATGTTCTGAAATTGTTGCATTGCAAATAGACATTTTAAAGGGAGACACTGGAGTGCAGTGTGGGCCGGCAGGCAGCAGTGCTCCTGTACTGTTTGCTGAGCATTGCTGCCCGTGATCTTCCAGGCTGTAAGCAACTTGGTGAAAATCTAATGTAGAATTTGAACCTAAAAAATATTCTGGGCTCGTTATGAAATGTCTTGATTGTTGAACTGTTAATAAGCAAAATTGTACTGTTGTGAGGGCAGTGCCTGTCTGTATACAGTGTGAGTGGGTTGGTTGGTGGCGTGTGTATGGTGTTGTAGGCAAGGCATTCATCCTGTAACAAGCAAACCCTTTTCTCCGTCTTCATTCTTTACATGCAGTTTCCATCTAACAACCTCTCACCCATCTCTCGTCGCCACTCTGGTGCTGCCTTTTCTAATTATGCTGCTGCTTACCAGGACTTCAAGCCTAGAGCTGAGGAGGCTCCACTTACTTCTGGGAGCCAGTAACAGAATGGGGGAAGCGGTTTATGGGATAGCTTCTTAAGGCTTCTGTGATCTGTTTTGTTGAAATGCATGGTTTTGAGCCATCCAGAGGTTGCCATTTGTCTGAAGGCCAAGAGCTTTCATTCTGTTATAAGTAAAACTATTCTTTGATGTAGTGTGACTCATTTCTTACCATTTTCCAATGCTTGTTTTAGCAACATTTCATGGTTTTCCTACTTTGGCATTTAGGTTTTATGGTCCAGAGTTTCAAAACTTGCTCTAGCAGTATGAAAGGAGATAAAGGTGATTTAAAATTGCGCTTTTATAAGTCCTTCGTTGACCAGGCATTTATTGAGCACCTACTACATTAAGCACACATCTTGTCATTTTTATGTGGAACTGTCTTCAAAATCTTGATAACAAAATATTTTGATGATAAAAATATACCCCAAAAAAAACCTTTATCAGAATTTACACATAATGCCAGTAAAGAAAATTCATGTGATTATCTAGACCCAAAGTACCGCTTTTCCTTCCAAATCCCTGTAGTACCATAAGCAAGTGCAGGAGCTTCAGCCAGCATCTGCTGTGTGCAGGGCACTGTGCTAATGCCCGGCAGTGGGAGACTGCTGCTGAAATACTCTTGGCTCTGCAAGGTGGCGCAGTGATGGTATTTCTCACATGCAAAGACACAAATAGGTATATGTGTTCAGGATTCAGAAAAATAGATGTGACTGAAGTTTCTAAATGTTAGTCTGTGAACAACGGTTTATGAGAAGGTGGGCTTGGTGGCAGCTCAGCGGACACAGTGGCACATGCCTATAATCCCAGCATTCCCAGCACTTAGGAGGTAGAAGCAAAAGAATTTTAAATTCAAGACCAGCCTCAGCTATAGCCAAAAAGAAAAGAAAAGAATTAATATTATGTTACTCTCCTTGCTGTTGATAATTCATCAACAATAATTCATCTCTTGGATTTAAAAAATACCAGTATACATTATTTCTAACTAAAAACACGCACAGGTTAGAACAGTGGATTTCACATGGACTCTTGAGTACCCATTTTGACTTCAATAAATAGCTTAAGTCTATATCCAAGAAGCAGTGTCTGCAGTGTTATATGAAGAGTTCGCAAAGCATTTTAGTCATATAAACCAACCAGGACAGCGAAGATATAGCTCATACAACAAGCTTAGCATCCTGGGAGCCTAGAGAGCAAGTTCTCTTAGCCTTGCCTTTTCGGGGGCGGGGGGGGGGGAGGCCTGCTCACACACAGTTTATGCAGTTTTGGAATTCATGAAACCCAGACTAAGAAATACCCAAAGTGGGGTTGCTAGGAGTCCTTGATACTCTTTTCGAGAACCCAAGTTCAGTTCTTAGCACCCACCTGAGGTAACTCCAGCTCCAGGGGGTCCCACACTTTCTGACCCCCGTGGGCGCATATGCTCACATATACATATGCACACACATACACATAATTGAAAATTAAAAGTTTTGAAAGAAATAACTATATTACGTATATGAAGTCATATGAAAGCATTATTTTGTATACTAACTAAAAAATGTTAAAATGAAGCAGCAGTCCTGTAGGCACAGCTTTGCCTGTGAACATTCGTTGTGCCTTGTTACAGACATAGAGGAATTTTATAGGATTACTTTGTTAAACCTTCCCAATTAGTTTATCCTTGACAACATATTATAGTTATGACTTTGGAGCAAGTCAGATTGGTTCTCAGGCCCCAAGGTTAGTCTCCTTCTATCCCCGTGTATGCATGACTTTGATTTTGACTTCTGCACACCTTGTCAGTCACGGCCCCTCCTACTTTTCTTTAGACAGAAGGACAAGTTTTACTTCCCAGCAGGAGCCCTGGACCTGTTTTCTTGGCACAATTGTGATGTGTCTTTAGTATGAATACTGTAAACTGATAGATAAGAGAAAATGCAAACGTGAGTGTCTTGAAGGAGCAGCTTTCCGATTAGCATACACGAAGACTTTTGAGAGCCCCACTCCATGCTCCTAACCCTTTTCCAAGATTGAGTGTTAGAATCATGCAGAAATGACAAAAAGGAAATTTGAGAAACTATTTTAAGTATGATTGTTCTACTGTCATTTAAATTCACAGTGATATGTCCATGTACAGTTCTCCTACATAATTTTCCTGTGCCTTTTGGTGGTCACACTCCTCATGTACTTCTGGATCGAAACTGAAAGAAACGGTTGAGCCATGCTTTCCTTTCTCCTTGCAGCTTTCTCAGTACTCCACTAACCTTCTCTAGTTAGTAGCTTTCTGGCAAACTTCCTCCTGCTTGACTTCTTTGAGCCAGCCTTGGCTTACACCTCCGTTGACGTCTGCTTCGTTGCATTTGAGGGAAGTGTTGACATCGATTTGACTTAAATCTTCTCCCCAGAGTGATTTCCTCCCTTTCCTTTGTCAACAGAAGAATGGTTTATTATTGCCAGTTTTGGCCTCCTCAGTGCTCTCACGCTCTGCTACATGATCATCAGAGCCACAGCTAGCTTGAATGCTAATGAGTAAGTAACAAATTGTTTTTTGGATTGCATGTGCCAGATGACCCCAAGAAAACATGTAATTTTCATGAAGGTGGTGAGACTTGGCTTCCCACCTGCTTCATGCTGATCCCAGTGGGATCATAGTTAACAAAAAATTTATTTCATGAGCCATCTATTTTTAGTCACACAGAATGGGAATTCATTTTGTTCAGTAAGACCAGCATATAAGAGCAAAACTCTGGAGGCTCTCTTTAGTACAGGCTGGATGCACAGCGTCATGCACATGCCAGGACACCAGAACAGTCTTAGTATGTCACAGGAATAGCCCCACTCTGTGTGTGCTCATAGATTTTACCAGGAGCTTTAGTCAACTTTCAGGAGCATGCTAAGACCTTTGCCTATGGTCAAGGACAGGAAAGAAGCGGGAAGCAAATCTACTGCTCTCAGAACTTTTGGGAGGTAGAGATGTCAAAATAGACTGTCTAAGGACAGAAAAGATAGGTTACAGAAAGGCAGAGTTGGCCTCCACAAGGAAGAACACCAGTCAGGCTTCTTAATGGTGAGATGACCTTCCCACAAGGAATGCACAGAGCTAGGAATGCTGGCAGCTGCTGTATGTCAAGGGCTACTGTAGGATAGATATCTTAGTCCTTTTGATGCAATGATTTCCCAGAAGTAGCATCCCACAGTGATAGGATAATGGAAGGGTTTAGTTTTCCTTTGTTTTACTATTCAGTCCTCTCTTTTACCTGAGTATTCATACTACTTAGAGATGGGCACAGCCCTGGGCCAGTGCCCAGATTTGAGTCTACATTGCTGCTGGTGCACATTGTGTGCTTTCCATATCAGAGTATGACGTAGCATTTTAAGTAGTCAACAGTAAACGATCTCCTGGAATAATAATAATGTTTAACCTTAGAAACACAAAACTTTCACTTCTCTGACATACTATCTCCAACCTGATCTGTTGACAAAAATCTTGCAAGAAATATCTTCTGTCATCCGTGACCCTGCACATGCTGAGAGGCTATTGTGATACATTGGTGTTCTTCACCCTTTATATGAATAGCCTTCGCCTGTCCATTAGGTCAGGAGCTAGCTACTTCTGTGGACACTGCTAGATACAGTTTTCCGTCAGAACACGGTACCAGTTGCTCAGATTCTAGAGTCAGTCACACCTAGATTTGACTCTCACTCAGCAACCCCATTTTCCATTGGGCATTTTAATTTATCTGAAGATGATTTTAATCATCAAAATAAGCAAATAATGACTCGTCTACATCATAGGGCTATGGACTTAGCACAGTGCCTAATACGTAATAAGTGCTCAATAAATGTTAGCCACACTAGCTCCGCTGAGATTCTGCTACAGTTCTGTGAATAAGATGGCCGTCTGGGACCAGCAGTGTGGTGCAGCAGGGAAGACACTTGCTGCCAAGCCTGGGACCTGAGATCAACCCAACTTCCACAAGTTGTCCTCTGACCTACATACACACACCATGGCACATGTACATATGCACACAGACGTAAAAATATAAATAAACATAATTTAAAATTTAAAAGATGGCCATCTACTTTTAATAAAGCAAATTAGTTTAACTTTGTCCTTGAAATTAGTTACAGTGCCTAGGAACGCTGTGGTCGTCCATGGTTTCAAAAACACTTCCATTCAGTGAAGTCATTGTCTGGTCTGCAGCCACTGTCTTGCTTATTCCCAATCAAGCTGGATAATAAGCCCAGTTCTTTTTTTGTCTTTTTTTCAAGACAGGGTCTCACTACATAGC